AAAAAAAAAAAAAAAAAAAAAAAAACTGTTTAAACCAAACCGTCTTACAATGTTGCAACTATGTTACTCACTGCTTATGATGTAACTTCTGGCGAAATAGAGACAGCGCACCATAGAGCCTAGTGCATCGTCCACTGGACGAGCCTCCACCTGTCTTTCCACAGGTTTTAATTCCACTGGAGATAACTCCACGCTTGGTGATGATGCCACACTGGACCTACAGAAAATAAAAACATTGTTTCTGCAAGGATCACCCCAAGTTAAGGAAGTATTTTTCTTAAAAAATAATAAACTCACGTCTCCTTCTTTTTATCCGGTACCGGATTTCGCGTAGGGCTACTTGTATTTGCACGACGTTGAGATCTACCCTTGCGCAACCTCCTGAAGGACTCCCTCAGGGATTTCTTGAACGATTTTCTTCTAGAAATAGGAGTATCACCAGCTCCGGACAAATCTGCAATGAAAAACAGATTTTATTTGATCAGTATGCATTACACACAAAAAATAATACAGTTTCGCTATTACATCATTCAGTCTACACTTAGAGTTTCAAAGTACATATAAGCCATTACCATTAGGGTTGAGAGTGCACTTGACACTAACGGCCTTTGACCTCGTGTAATCAAACACAGCCAATCCGTGAGCAGTGCCTGCAGCAAGTAACCCCCATTCGCTGTGCATAGCGAGAGCAGTCACGGCAGCCGGTGGATGCAACTGAAGAAGACTTTGGGGTTGGAAACCAACTGCGAACGAGATACTACTAGTTCTTGCTGGAAGTTGATCATGTCCTTTCCACACAAAACCGTCGCGGTCGTTTACAATGTTCATAGTGACAGCCCCGATTTCTTTATTTACAGGCTCTGATGATATGCTTGCAGTAATAACATGTCCCGCGGTTCCAGCCACTACCAGAATTGAGGAGAGTGGACACAAGAGAACCTTTTTTACAGCTAGACGAGGATCATCCGAATAGGGATCAAATGTTCCCACTTTACGGAAGGGAGGCCACTCATCCTCTTCCTCTTCTGGAGGTTGTTCCAACACGTCTAGATGTTCCCCCGCGAAGAGTATCGATGAGTTGTATTTATAAAGTGGCGTCAGTGTTACGTCCGATGCATTCCAGAAACGCACTGTACCATCCTCGTGACCCGTCAGTAATAGCTCATGACTTTTGGGTTTATCAGAATTTGCGGGTTTCTGGCACAGAATGTATCCACCATCTATAGGCCAGGATTTATCCGAATAGAGATGTTCTGTCTGCGCTTTTCCAGAAGAAAGGATAGCGTCCCACAACTCCTCAGGTACATTAGGGACATGCTGAGAACACGTAACCTGAAACAATCAGTCATCCTACGTCATTCAACTGAATAATACGGAAATAATATAAGACAGAATTGAATTCAACTAGTCTAAGTTTTATCAGATTTAATATCGTACCGCGCTAGCATGAAGTGAGACCAAATACGGTAGAGCCATCATTTTCCAATCAGGATTAGTTAGGTCTATAGCCACAAGTTCTTCCTCGGCAAGAACTATTAGCGCTTCAGGAGTTTCAGAAGATTCTTTATTATCCTCACTTTTTGGATTTACTGTAAAAAAATCTATAACCTTAGAAGTAAAATCAAAAGCTACGTGCTTCTCCTTGGTCATGACAGTGATAGTATTTCTATCACCATAACTTGCTCTGGGCATACCACCGGCGAACAAAATGATCTCCTCACCACTGCAAAAAAACAAGCACAAAAAATGTATCACACCCTAAATGTACTTCGAGTTGAGGTAGCATGTAATTGGGTATCTTACTCGTCCATAGGATGCACCAGAATCTTGCTAACAGCCTTGCATGGATATGGACCATATAGAGTCGTCGGTTCCGGTACAGTATCGCTTCCGGGACTCCAGAAGGCGTATGATCCATCATTATGGGATGACACGAATCGAGTCCCGGAAACCCAATGAACCGATTCCAGCTGTTGCGTGGAGACGAATGTCTGCGCACGCGAAAACAAACCCATCAGCTGCACACACACGTTCGCCAAAAAGCACCAAAGACAGAAATTGACAGTCAGAACGATTAACGAAAGCGATACCTAAGATCTGCCAATGTTGGTTCTCTCTCTGTTATTCATACATGTTTTTAATAAGTAAGTAGTGCTAATGCAATTAATTCTCCCCTGTTATGCTTTAATTCCCTGATTCTCCTAACCAATCAGCGTTCATTAACTTTTCCAAAAGCATGTGTGTGTAATGTGTCAAGAAAAGAGTGTGGTGTGTTTTTCAATGGCATAGGCACGTAGAAACATTTACTCGTAGAAACTCACCTGTTGCGCTCCTGGAGTAGCTTTGTTCCAAAGTACCATTAAACCACGATTGTAACCAATGAGAATATTATCCGGATGTCCAGGTTGCTCAGCAATGGCTTCCACAGCGCCTGGATTGATCTTGTAATCTTCAGGGACACTGAAAAACAATTTATAGAAAAAATTATACACAATGGAACTTAAAATGTATAATCTGTTAGTAATGGGAATTAGTACATTTATAGGCCCTAATCTTGATCAGTGGAATTAGGACAGTTTAGATTAAGCATACACATTAATCCCATAAAAAATAATCATTGGATTCTTATCAGAGATAGTCCAGCATAATCTAGTTCACCGATGGACAGTATTCTTACAAAATTGAATTTATCACAAATATCCAGTTAAGAAATGATAGCAGAACAGCATTCTATTATTAATACGATGAGTATTATTTATCAGTATCTTACTTTTGCATCACAACGTCTTGGTATATTATATTGTCTGACATCGTGAAACTCTTCAGGTTTAATAAATATATATTTCCACCCTCGGTGCCCAAAAGTAGATGTTCACCACTGGATTCTAGACACATGGCTGATATCCTTTTCAGCTTCCCTTCCAACGATAATGACTTTGTTTCCACCAAAGAGCTTTGATTGATCTCCCATAAGTGTAATGAGTTATCATCACAGAGCGACACAACACGTCCCTGGAAGATATAATTGAATAGAATAATTTTGATTTAAATACAGTTTAAAATCATTTAAATATTTATCCTTATTTAGTTTCTTAGAGCTTAGAATGATCAATAAACAACATGTTTGCTGCCTGAAAGATCTATACTTCGGTATTTTAATACAAGGAAAAATAATGTAATCGAAGATTACTAAATATAAACAGTAATAAAAAAAAAAAAAAAATTGTTCAAACTTCAAGCTTACTTATTAATACTTTGTTAAAATATGAACTTATTATAATAAATAATACTACTAAATATAACACTATAAAAACCAACATACATAGATTCAACATCAAGCAACGCTTTATGTTCACTTTTCCTATTTAAAAAATTCTTTCAGTCATTGAGTAGGTTATTAAAAAAATTATCTACAGTCACATAGCGAATGCTACGTAAAGCGATACCCTATCGATCGAGAAAAATGTTCTATCTTATCGGTCGCACAGATTCGTACGTACAAAGCGATAAGCAGTTATCCGATTGCTTCAAATTGAGAAGGAAGGAGAAAAAAGTTAAATACCGTATCCAAACGAATAATTCGAGGCGACATAATTGGAATACATTGTGATTACAAAATGATTCAGCGCTGCAGTTCCCAGTGTACGTACACTGATGCATGAGATGCTTGTGAATCAATTACAAATACAAAAACGTGTTAAAGAAGAGAAACGGATCACATAAGTGCCCCGTATACTGCCATAAACAAATTTCACAACTATCGCAATACTGGTATTCATATGTTACAATTGTACTATGTAGTTCAGTAAAATACGGACAATTTTAATAAATCGCAAGCGTAGCCAGTAAATTTGATCACACGTGACGTCATCGGGAGCCTTACTCATGAAAATCGATAATATAATTATGTTCGATGGCAGAAATCATGTCTACATCTTTTAATTATTGTATCTATTTTCTGGCTCGTTTAGATATACCACAAATTACACTGTCTCCCTTCTTTAGTCTCTTTCCCTTTTTGCTCGTAGAAATGAAGATAGGTGACGCCATGTGTCAGTGTCGGCTGCATGTTGTGCGTAACAAATTCACACATGTAGCAGAGCTGACTATACTGTATATCGCGTTACTTGGCGCGCGTGACTCTCTAAACATTCACGGGAATATCCATAGCAGTTCCACACCATCATTAAAGCCAACCGTCACGCATAAAGTAACCGCCTATGTAATGTATATCCCCGTTGTAATTCTTCATACGGAAATCATTTTAATTATTGTAAAAAAAAGCTCCTATACTTGGGTACTATGACATACTTCGTTGGGTAGAGCAATGATCTTCGTGACAGCATTTTCACCGCTCTCTGTTGTGTGTTGCCCATAAAATTCAACGCTAGGTCTTCCAAATCTGTTATATTATTACATAAAGAGTCAAGGAAATGCTATAGTTTTCTTTATTTTTTTCAAGATTTATGAAGAATAATGTTTAAATCTACACATTAAACGACACAGCACCGTAATAAAAACATAATACAAATTTCTTGCTCAATCGTGTAATAAGATTCTTAGCTTTTTTTATTTCACGTACGATTCGAATCAAGAAAAAATTGCTGACGATGTAAACCATTGCAAATCCGACAATTGCATTCTATAATAAACGTATACCGTTACACAGTGCGTCATTGCAGATGGCGCTGGGAATGTTTTGAAATGAAGAAACTATAAAAGCGCCAACTGATGTCTAAACCAGGATAAAATTAGAATCACTGTGAACTTTTTCGTACTGCTGCCTGAAACTTTCGCTTTTCCGGGTAACGAATGAGTGTTCGACGAAACAGTTTTATATAGGGTGTGACAAAAGGCAATTATCGTAATATGAGAAAGGATACACTTTAATGGCGCCAGAGGCAGTGCCAATTATCATGAGACGTAGACTTGGATCCCAGGCAAGGGCTGTTGGTTTATTTGGAAATCCATGTTGGACAGTCTGAAAAAGAAAAGAAAGAAACAAAATTATTGTTTAGTCGATTATATTCTTCGGATAAATAGATAATAGTTGTTCATTATCATTGACATAAAATAAACACTCTGGGTAGATCTATTTATCATATGTATGAATCGATTCTGTATTCTCAGTCGGTCACCGACTGTATTCCTAAGACATTAATATGTTTCGAGTTGTACGTTAGTACTACTATCTACTATTACTACTGTGTACCATTATCATTACGTATCATTACTAGAGATCATTGAGATATACACATTTACTAAAATTCGCAATGTTGTTATACGATTAATAAATATTTTCCTTGAATATCGAATAAAGATTTCTTCCAGGAAAAATATATAATACGCTCCACCTATCTGTATGTATAAACAAGTACATACCAGATATGTACATATATTCTACGTCTGAATTTACTTTAGCAGCATTCAACAACGGCAGTAGGCGCGCGATGATTTCGTCATCGATCCGCGGACACGGATGACTCATAATCGGAAATTTGAAAAACCCGTTGTTTGAAATGACAATAATTTTATCAAGTTATATTATACACATACATTGCGTACTTAAAGTATTATAAAAGTTACTGTACACGTATGTACACTGCTCCCTTTACACGGTGTAAGATCAGTGTTGTTACTGGTACCAGTACTAATTATTATTCGTACTAGCAGACTAATACTAACATTTTCAATATAAAGCAACCAGCCACTAATTCACTGTTATATCCAATAAACGTGAATTTAAAAAAAGCGTACTGATACACAACTAGCTTAACTGAGACTTAAGTGGCGCAGATTAAATATCGGGGCCAGATGGAACAAACTATACGCTAAACGTACGTGCCGTTACTATTTTTACGAGTGATTCTACTGACTCGGGTCGCGACTCGAGGTTACATTAATTTTCAAAGTGAAGCGGATTTGAAGGAGCTGTGTGTAAAATTCTTGTAGCAGACGTCGACGTTTCAGCGATACTCCTGTGGTCACTGTTATATAGCTTGTTTGAATCAGGACACCCATTATATGATGTATGATCTGTATACCATAAGGAGAAAGGTTTAGTTGCAAGGTACATGAGCATGGAATACTGGATAAACAGTGTCCCATGACTGATCATTGGAATATTGATGAATTAAATATGATGGTTGTTTCCTGGTGTACGTGTACATTCCATATGACTTTAGGTAAATATTAGAAGGGCAGGGCCGCTTATCGTGGCGTTTGCAGTGTAACTTTTTTGATAAGATATATCTCTGCACAAACCATTTTTTTCTCTTGCGATAACTTGACAGCCATCGGTTGCGCCGTTCTGTGTATCATTTTTTTACCTTGATTTCCATTGGTACCTCACAATGGAGGAAGTATTTTAAAGAACAATGAAGAACAGAGCACTCAATGGAAAAGTACGTTCCGTTAACTATGAAAAATTAATTTTTCAGCCAGGAGTTTGAAAAAGAGTCATTAGAAATATATTTAATTTTCAATTACGAACAATTATAAAAAAAATTGAATGTAAACTACTGCTTGCCAAGTAATTTTTATGAAATTGTATCTATAGAGCTTTTGTCGATATATGTATGTATATTGTATTTAGACGATGAAAACATGATGACACCGGTTTTACGCGTTTTTTTTATTTTCTTGTTTCCTACATGTTTTACTTCTCTCATTTCCATTCCGTTTGTTCTACGTCTTCTCACATATTTTCTTTTATCTTTTATTTTGCCTCTCACTCACTTTTACCTTCGTATCAATTACACTGTCTTGAATATCGACCTGTTGATTCGCTACTGGGTCAGTCGGAAACGTAATCGAGAATATCTTATTTCGCTGTATTAAGTATTGCAATATATAACAGAAAAGGACATCGTATGTAACTAAATAACAATAATAACATGAAGCATAAACTGAGCTGAGGAGGCGTTGTCCTCTTAACACGGATGTTGAATGCATAATCCGGGAATTATGAAAAGTGAGAGAAAATGCCGCCGTGGGAATTTACACAATAAAATACAACGAACTAAACTAGGAAAGCTACAATACCAAGTACTGTATAATCCGTGCAAGAGACGCACGGGCAAAGAAATTGTTAAATAATATTTTAATAAACCTAATCAATCTGTTGTCGTACCTTGCGAAATGCAAAAAGATCCTTTTGCAATTTTTGTCGTTCGGCGCTGGGTTGCTGGCCCTTTCCTCTTATAAACTTCAGCATCTTATTAGCTATGATGACAGTTTAACAAACTCGTCTTCGGTTAATAATGAATCCGTTGTTAAAAAACTCGTGGATTGTCTTACACAGCCAGTGAAAGAGGATCGTTGAGAAGACAGCACGATGAGTCTCGTTTCTTTCTTTTTTTCTAATGCAGCGTAATTAAAACATTCTTGAATGAAACGGTAACTGGCGCGTGCTTCACGACACTTTTATTAATGTGTCTCGATCACACTGAACAGCGGTTTTATTGGACGTCGAACAGTTTCGGTAAAATGTTAAAAAGAACCGTGTAAGGATATATGCTTGAGTTGTGTCCTGCGTATCCGTTTGGCTCTCTCGTACAAATATGTATACGAGACTGGCTGTCTGTTTAGCTGGATGGCTGCCGCCGAACGTCTCTCTAGAATGTCTGATTTCGTGTTCGTGAAGTTAAAGTGGGCCTGTCTCTCCTGTCTGTTTAACGTAGCCGCTACGATATGTCAGCCGCCTCGCATTACTAGCCGTTATACAGAGTAAGCGGCATTCACAAATTCACAGGAATACACGGGAGACACGTTAGCAGGACACGTAAATATCCACAGCGAATGGCCGCTCCCAAAAGCTCGTAAAAGCATGAAAAGCCTGAGATAAGTGTATTATTTAAAAAAAAAACACGCCCGTTAAACTCACGATCCACGATCCACGTATGTACGTGCACATATGTATCGTTCGCGATTGTCGCGTCTCTCACCGTTGTGCGTTGCCGTCGCGTCGTTCGGCCATGGCCAATCCGACCGGTTCGGAAAGGTTCGTGTAGAGTCGGTAGACATCGTAAAACTTCGGAAACTGATGACGCCGGACCCGCCCGAACGAACAATGACCTCGATCATTGTTACCAACTGCGCGGGTTTTGGTGGTCCTTCCTTGCCTACCTACCTTACTGCCTCAGTAATTTACCTGCCTGTAATGTCTGTTTCCTCTAGAAAAGTACTTCTCTTGAGCTCTTCGTTTTCTTTTATATTTATCTTTATTATAAAAACTCGCATCTATTATAACCTAAATTCTTACGGAGCCTGCGCCCGTTTAGATCTACCTATAGCTATTCGACAATAGTTTGATAATAATCTAAATAAAATAGTATTGCCAATGTAGGCGATTGTAATAGTATGCATATTCTACTGGCTGCACAGAGGTTTTAAGTGATTCTCGACATGTCACCGGAAATCACGTAGTATTGTCGACTTTTCGAGTAGCACTTCCGCGGGAAGAGCGCGTACAGTTAAGAACAATATAGAAGTACATTGATTAAAGATATCTGTCAATCCGCAATATATGTTATGCTTTCATTATAAATTTATAATCATCAGGATATTTTAAAGTGTACATTGATCGAGATATGGATTTGATAATAAGCTTCTTTCCGTAGTCCGTTCACCAATGAAATCAGTTTTTATAAAACTATCTTCTTGTGACTTTCAATTTAAAAGATGCTTAGACTTTTAGCATTTAAATTTGCATATCATCACTGTCGATACAGAAGTTTCTATTCCAATACCGTTGACGGAAGGTAAATAAATTTTTAGCATTCCTGTCTGCTCTGTGTCGCGCCGATCTAACATACTGATGCTTCATTGAGAATATCGCCACCTGTGAGTTGAAACAGCTGAGCTATTACCTCATTAACACGTACAAACCATGCTCTGAAGAGTAATAAAATGAGGAACATAGGTGTTTAAAGTGGGGGCCTTTGCAAAGCACCGACTAGCCTGGATCCCCACTCCAAGGCATTGTTGACGTTTATTGTACAAGGGATAATTGAAAAATTTTTCGCTAGAGGTCAGCGCTTGTCGAGTGGGACCAGGTACTGACTGGAATACGGAAAAATATATTGGCGCGAAACTTTACTCTGTGGAGAGCCAAATCTCTTATATCGAACTTTCGAATGCCTGCATCCAAAAGTTTTTCCATAATCCCCTTTCTCGTTATGACTTTTTTATCACTCTTTACCTTCTTCATGTTCTTCTCTCTTCTTACAGAATTCACTCTTCACTTGTTCATCATCTACTCGTTTCATCTCTCTCTCTCTCTTTCCTTGATACTTATTTTCCTTATTTGTTCTATCAGGCTATATCTTTTCCATAATATTATCTCGATATAATTGTCAATTTGTAGCAACAGCTTAATCCGAACCTTCTCCCGTAAGTCTAATTGGTATCAAAAGTGTTTACTTTCGTTTCTGAGTGCTCTGTGTTCGCGACTGAAACATCCCGGTTAACACGTAACAGCACAGTATATAACACGCGATTAACATGATTTTATAAAATGTTTGATATAAAATGTATGTCAAGGCACGAAAAAATGTAACAATTTTAACTATGTCTTTATGAAATGTTGTTGATATATACATATGTTAGATACATTGTGCTTGTTTTATAAAAACCTAAATGTAATAGGTATGAAACTTAAACATAACATAACAAAACTGTTAACTGTAACCTAATTCAATTCCATTCTGTTACATTTAACGAAAAATGAATTGTGTCGTCAAAGTAAATAGTTAGGCGTGAAACCGCCAATCCGCAATTAAAGTGTATCTCTAAAATGTGTATATTAGAGTAATACTTTTAGGCAACACACTTTATTAAAAGTGTGTCGGAGTAACGTACCAACTACATTAAGCTCTTCGAACATCTTGAATATTTGAGGTCTGAAACACCTGTATCTCAGAAAATAAACTAAATTTCTAGCAAACACGATTATTACATTCATGTCACTATCACATACCTAGTATAGAACAACACAGAATTCATTATGGATCTCTTCCTATACTCTTTCTTTCCTATGTTCACTTTCAAAAAGACGTAACGCAGTGAATAAGTCTATTTCAATAATTGAATTGCAATCATTCTCTATCATGCACGAAAATATATTGTTGATTTAGTCATAAGAGGTAAATAAGTAGTTCGTATACAAAAATACAAGTGCAAAAATAATCAAGACGTCGCGTAAACGTATTTCCAGTGTTGAACGTCGGACTTTATACTCAAGAAAAATTGAGAAGAGAACAGGGATGCTTTGGCGACCTTTTTACTCTTATGGTGTACGTCGGTGTATACGATCATCCTGAAGCTCTCGTGAAACACAATTTTCTCTATCTGCTTTTAGCCTCTTTCCCATTTCCGTGTCTTAGGTTTCACGGATATCAGTTCACATTAAAAGAAGATTTAAATACTTGTAATCCTGACATTTTAATTTATGTTGGTGAAACCGGGCCGTATTCTCATAGAGATAGAAATATTATTTTGTAAACGATAAACTGACTTATGCCAAATAACTTTCAAAGGTTATTGAAGTGCATTTTCTTTATTTATAGAGGAATAGTTTTATGAATCACAAAAGAAATTAGTGACTAGTCATGTATTGCGCTAGTCGTGCTCTTTCTTTTTTTCTTTTTCATGGCGTATCTATAAAATATACATATGTATGTAAATCCTCCGTATGTAGAATGGATATATGTATACTTTGCAAATCTTTAGTAGCTATAGTGTAATATTTTGTTATATTATTTTTATTAGTTAACTAAGCAATATTATATTAGTGCGTGGAGCACGTTAAATTTTACTTAGTTAGTTTAAACGAGTATTTGAAAACTGGAACTAGAATTATTAATAAATGCACTAAAAATCCATCAAAGAGTCCATAAGATGGACTTTAATTATCGATTGACGGATAGAGTATGAGTTATATTGCTATTAATTGATTTTACAATTGTTCTCCTATGATATAATTCTCGTCTATAACATCGTTGTATTAATTAATTCCCCCACCATTTCGCCCATTTCTTTGTCACTGCTTAATACAAACGAATGATAGAAACCGCGCTTACACAATATTGCCTGTACATTTGGGTGTTTTTCTCTTAATTCCTCATAATATTTAATAGGAGTCCATTGATCTTTAGAGCCATAATAAAACCACAATTTATCTGCATGGTTTGAAACCACATCATGATCCAATTCATTAACATAACGCATCTCGTCATTGGCTAACATAAATACATTACGTAGGACTACGGGATTCACTAGTTGTAAGACTGCTTTGGTACTCCTTGATGGAATGCCATAAAAAGTACCAAAAGCGCGAATCAGAAATACACGAAGAATTAGTGGGAAGAAGGTAAACATCCAAGCCAAAAATATTAAAAGTGGAGCTACTCTTGTTACCTGAAATAGATAAAGATTTATTAAAGACTATGTTCTGTATCTAAAATTATTATAAATAAAATGGAATATTATTTGCTGGTGTCCACTTACGAAACCAGTGTAGAACTTCCCATTAGTACTTTCAACCATTCTTTCAACTGTGGGAAACAGGAGATAGCATCGGACAACTTTAGAGGCAATCGTATCATCCTTGAGTAAATTCAGCGTAAACCAGCTACCAATGGAATGTCCTACAAGGTGTATCCTGGCATCTGGAGGAACGTATTGCTTTATGAATTGTGCCTAAACAAAAAAAGTCATGTATAGTAAAGTAAAAATCTTAACAGAAAAAGAAAATAATAATCGTCAAGTAATGCACCTTATGCTCAAGTTGACCTTTAAGGTCATAAAAATGCTTTCCTGTAGAAGTATCAGGTATGGAAATTTGTAAATGTTTAGGTGGCAGAACATGACCTGCATGTCCTACGATCCACACTGGGGTCTCTGTAGGTAGTTTTGTCTTGAGAGATTTGATAAATCCTTCGTAAAATGCTGGAACTCCAGGATTGCCTGGAATTACTATGACGATATCCTTTCTACCATCAGGAGCTAATCCTTCTTCTACCCAACGACCTTCAGTTACAATGTGAGTTTGCACTCCATTGCAAAGGAGCATCGATTGCTGCATTCTGTCCTGTTTGAATAAATACCAAATAAAATAAAGTATTTTCAAACTGATTCGCCAAAAAACATAAGCAAATTAGAAAGTAGGGAAAAACAACGTTTACAGTATCTTAATCTCAAAGAAAACAGCAATTATGCAATGACAATATAATGTGTAAAATTATATCTCTAGTAAAGTTTGACAATTTTTATGTCATCGTTGTGACTACAAAATAACACATATTTTAAGAAGCAATTATATCGACAGAAGTCATTAACATTATCTGTCACTGGTTAATAACCTCGTATTTATTTCAATTACTTCAGAGCTTGATATATTGAAGTACTCACTTAGAATTCGATGTTAATGAATTTTGGAACACAATGCCACTATTTCTGGCGATTAAATAAAATTTTATAAATACTGAAGTAAAAATAATTAAGAAATGAATATTAACCAATCTATCTAAATTCTCGGAATGACCAGCACAATTTAATTCTACCTCTGGCAGGTACGTGTATCACAATGGCTCCATGTAAAAAATTGATTCTTTTTTTAGATATCAAGTGTATATTTCAGGTCAAAAGATTATCGAACAACGTTAGCAGGAAATTAAAAAATGAAATTATATTAGCAAAAGAAAAACGTTTAAAAATATAAATTACAGGTTAATTTTTCACTATAAAACACGCCTTACCGACAGGCCGAAATAGCTCAGTTGGGAGAGCGTTAGACTGAAGATCTAAAGGTCCCCGGTTCAATCCCGGGTTTCGGCAAAGATATTTTTTTTCCCCTTAAGATTTCTTAATCATTGTCATTTTTGTCGCTAGAAATTCAATCCAGTTTCATCATGAAATATAAAACTATAATGAATACGAATAAGAAATTTCATTTACTCGTCTGTTTCATAGGCATATATATTTTTCTTTAAATGATGAGTGTCTTTAACGAGGCCTCACTGCCGGCCGCATAACATTAACGAGCTCGTTTATTAGTGAGGCATTAAACACCTTTTCTCGACGAGGAAAGACAAGCTTCAGGCCTAAGGCAGCTGAACTTATGAACAGGTTCAGAATTAGATTGTATGAACGATTGGAAGACCTTTTTAAAACGACAGCATACCAACAGCCTTAGTGTCCACGAAACAATGTCCTATTGCATAACAAAAACAACCCTTTACAAAAACCACTTTCAGAAATCTCGACAATGATTTTAAAAAAAAATGAATGATACGTTTTTTTAAAGGATCACAGAAGCAATAAGTTTCGGGAACATGATCCAAAAGTAACACTGTTTTCCTGTATCAAGTCGAACGCATTAGACGTTTTAGGAGTAAATATAATATTAAAATTTGATATAACTCCCCTAAACAGTGTTTGCTTATCAGAGAATCAAAGGCTTACAAGAAAAAATCAAGATTTCCGAAAGGATCCAATAAAAAGAGAGTGCCACCTTATTAATCGGCCATTGATATTTCTCTTGTCGATTTGCCGTTAAAAAATTGATTGAGGGTTAAAATGATGATTGATCAATCTATCGTAAAGAAACATGAGAATAGAAGGAAAGAGAAGACAGAAAGGAAGACAGAGTCGTATTGGTTGCGGAAGGCGGAGCGCGAATGAGTGCAAGTCACCTCTCGTGGATCCCCACTACAAACACGCGATACTGGTCTCACCTGGATGGATGGACGAAGAAGGCTGCGGAGCAGAGTGTCTGGGCCCAGAGTGGTCAGGGCCGTAGAGCCAGAGGGGCCCGATGGACATAAAACGATAAAATGTGCAGGAGTGGCGCAGAGAGGCGGAATAAAGCCAAGGAGTGCTGAAGCGAGGTAGGAAGAGACGTAGAATGGGAGGCTGAATGCTTCGTGATCAAACGAGAGAAAGAACGCGAACGTAAAGTAACACACAAATGTAAAATGTGGTCGCGACGTAAAGCCTTTGGGCCTGGAGATGATTATATGTACCCGGATGTAACGAGCAACTTCACGTAACTTCTGTGTTAAGTATGGTCACGCGATCGCCCCTTTTCTCCCATCCTGTTGGTAAGCTTGCAGTCGAGCTTCTGTTACGTACGATGATCGCCGAATATTTCATTAATATAATGGGGATAGACCATTGGATTAATTTATGACAGATCAATTTCGATGGGCCGCACTGTTATTTATAGCAAGATCACCGATTTTCGGGCCCATTGGTTTCCCTATTTGTGATATCTTATTCAGCTTCGATTCCATTTACCTGTTATATGCATTCTTTGAAATGTTATTGTAAACTTCATTGTTTTATGAATGAGGTAACGATAATAGGACTTATACAGAAGCCATAATCGTTATCCTATTTGAAGATCTCGATTGCTATCGTGTCGATCGAGTTGGCGCTTATAACAGTGAACCTCGAAAAAAGGCGTGTCACAATTTCTCCTGGAAGGGGAAATAAGGCCCAAAGGAGCTTGAAGGTGTCGAAAATCGCCTAGCAGGACCGTCGATTGTCCGGTTATGCACAGATCAGAAGAGGGCTTCATAAATATATCGTAAAATTTTCACGAGAGGCAAGAGAGAAGCATATGGTTCACGGAGCGATGCGAGAGGCGTAGCTACGAATAGACTCCGCCCCAATGGTAGGCGTGTCCAGACATTTACGGTAAACAGCTCTTGGTGTTACGTGGAGCGGGGAGCGGTGAGGGGCTTACAGAGGATAGTGGGGGAAGTACCCATAATCTCACTGAACTGCAGTTACAATTCAACCGACGGACGGTGAGCATGCTACTCCGTCTCGTAAAACGAATCTTTTTCTCACCGGAAGTGTAAAGTCGCGTTTCCGGTCGGGCCCTTACGAATTTACGCAGCAACCTGAACCCAATATACACTGATCAGCCGCGATATCAAGACTCCTTTAAGGTGTCTAACGGCGTGAATAGTTTGAAAGCGACAAGGGCCAAACAGTCAGGAGGAAGGAGGAAGGTGCTAGTGTTAGTCTGATTGTGCATCAGTGAAGTTTTACTATATATACGAGAACGGGTTCTAGGAGTTTGCTACGTCTGACCCAGGCCCATTCTATCGTGTTGTAATCAGCTAGTGTTTATTCTCTGCTATACAGCTGAGGATAAGAGTGTGAAGGGGAACGGCGTGAAAGCCATAGTCGTCGTCCATCTCGTGAAATCTAGAGGAGACGCAGTACTACACTGTTTGCGTTGTAACAGACATTGTTTCTTTACCTCAATACAGGAAATAATATAAGGAAAACGGAAAGGAACTGAAAAACATAGTTCCCATCAAACTCCAACCGGCTGTCCAACTCTGGTAGAGAGACGATCGATCGGCTTCAAAACGATCCCAAGCTGCTTTAAGCCCCTTCGGCCGGCGCCCGCTTTAAAGGGAATATAACCTAAGCGTCGGCCGGAGCTATTTCCGCCTTTTTCAGGAAGTTTTCTGGTATCTCTGGATACTCAGCCTTACCTTACTCCATATCTAACATCGTTATATTACATTTATTACAAAGCCGTCCGTATCCTTATCCTGTCAATATGTAGGTGCCTCCTGTAATCGAGGAAGTGCGAAAACGTATACCTACGTTTTAGGCCTTGCTCAGTCTAGCGCGACATGCGAACGAGCTCATTTTCGACGTCCGTCGCCTACACGCGAACATCAAGGTACGAACAATCTAGTTGGAACTACGCGTTGTAGACCTCCTCGAAGAAGATGTAGACCGTCGCGGCGCGAATGAGACTTGGACGCGATTAATACCACAAGGCGTCTAAGCTCTCGCTATATCTATACAATATCAAGTCTTTATTAATTAATTAATTTCATATTGCGTATGGAATATCCGAGTAAACGTTTTTAGAGTTCGGATTGTACGCTTCTCCAATGTATTTCTTTTCTTACTGGTGCAGTGAACACGTTTCCGCGTTTATGAGTATGTGCGTCTACTTGTGCTACAGTGTGTGATACTCGTCGGTTGTGGGAAAAGAATTGAAAGATAGTATTTCTAACATACATATCTCACGATCGCTGACTATTAAATACAAGTACTGCACGCACTGTACTCCCTTTGAATTACTGTTAGATGTGAATCACTCTTAGTGCATACGTGCAATCAGTGTACATGTGGTGTTGTCAAGATCATGTGAAAAGAAAATAGATCTCAAGGAAATCATATCCTGGATTCACACGGGAAGATTTGAGATTGGGATGATGCCCTGTTACGTGGGCTCTTCCTAATCATCACAGTGGAGTTCTGCTTCATCGCAGGTAAATATTACGTACTACTTGCAAACAATAATACTCGCTTTTATTTCATACAAATAAACCTACCTAATTTCATAAGCGAATTACATCTCTGACTACTAGATCACTTGACCCCACAGTTTCCTGCCTATGTTGTCAGGTATTGTTTTATTTTTCCGTCGGTCACTTATTATTTAACTGCTCCACAGTTTTCTATACTGCACAGATTTTCCATTGGATTCACTTAATTTTTAGTAAACAAAAATAGGAAGTATACCTATGCTGTCAAGGTACCATTAGAACGTTATGGTTCACCTCCTGTCTCCTATCTCTTCGCATAAGAGGAATCAGTTGTCTAGTAAAAGAGGACAGTATCATTTAAAAAATTGACTTTTGATTTTCCTATCTTACTGATTTTGACGCTATCTAGAAGGGACTTAGAGATCGGGTTTTTGTTGTCAGTTTGTGTGTGCGCGCAGGGGATAGTAACTAATCATTGACTATGGAAAATATACTTTTTATATGTGGGATATTTGTGAGATGCATGTATGTATAAACGTATAAAATAGGTAGGGGGTTACGGAAGGATAGGAGGAAAAGATTATAAGTCATCGAGGATTAAGGTGTGGGAGAGCTCGTGTGTTTTACTCTCTTTCTCTTTCCTCTTGAGCGGCGGTTTAAAAAGTCTCTCTCTCCCTGCCCCCCCCCTCTCTCTCTCTCTCTCTCTCTCTCTCTCTCTCTCTCTCTCTCTGTCACCCTCTCTCTTTCTTTTTTGTTATGTGCACGTACATTGACAAACATGCATGAACACACATTCACGAATAAGGCAATCCATCATTTGAATATTTGAAAACTCGTGCTTCTGTAATGAGCCACGAGAACTTTTCGTGACGCGTAACCAGTAAAACGACCTAGCAGTCGGTAGGTGTGCATATATGTGTATATATATATTTAGAGACAGAGAAAGAGAGGGTGTGTAGGGGGCATAAGTGTATGTTGTGTCTGTATATATACATATATATATTATTTTATTTCCTCATTTTCATAAATCTCATGCACATGTATCCTGGTAACTCTTTCGTATCTGGCAGATATTTTTACATGCGATTCGGTATTATTTTATTATTTCGTAGGTATTTCCTCAAGAGATATTGGTAGCGCTGCTATCTATCGGTTCGCTTCTAAATAAATAAATGGTTGGTTCAGTCGATCGTATGGTAGGTTCGATCTCACGTTTGTATTGAATTTAGTTTTCGTTTGGTTAGGTTAGGTTTTCGCGAGGTCTGCCCTTTTCTCATCCCTGGTGCCGGCTCCCTTGGTCACGTCGATTGACCGGACCGGTTCCGCACAAAGACGAGAGTGCCTCCTCGTGCTTCAAAGAGTGAGTAGTAATAGGTACTAGTAGTAGTAGTAGTAGTAGCAGTAGTAGTAATAGTAGTAGTAGTAGTAGTAATGATAGTAATAGTAGAAGAAAATGGAAATGAGAGAGAAAGAGAGAGAGAGAGCGAGCGAGCGAGCGAGAGAGAGAGAAGAAGAGAAAAATGCTAGACTGCGAGTAAACAAATATAAACATATGTGTAGACGGATGGGTCGACGTTTTGGTTACACCCGGGTTAAGAAAACGGGCGCAATGTATTAGCTATTATCAAAAAGAAAAGCAAAACAGAATAAAATAAAAAAAATCTCATAATACGTAAATCAGGTACTCGGTCAGTTCACTATCTTATGATAGTATTCGGTTGTCTTTTTCTGTTGGGAGAGACGACGAAATTCTGTGCGGCCAAGAAACCATGCGCTGCTATCTAAATCCATGGCGTTCTCGACCTTGACCTTTCCCTTTCACTGTCTCTCTTTATTTCACGCCAATTTCTCTCTTAAATTCTCTCTCTCCTTCAAGAAAGGAAACGACGTAACGCAGCCTACGTTGACGATGACTTTAGGCAGCTAAAGCTTTTTGACCGTCGTGACAAAGCCCCCCCGCCCCCCTTCCTCTCAACCCGCCGGTTACGGTATCGGGGACCAGAGGTGCAGACTGACGTCACTCCCGAGAAAGAATTTCCATAGAATGCACCGGTTCTTGGCCCAGAGGGGCTATTCGTTTGAGAGTCACTGGCTCATCCTCTCCTTCTCTCTTACTCCGCACGGTCGGCCGTCAATCATTTAAGGGATATAGCCTGGCCTCACTTCATCCCAGCTTGTGCCTCGGCCCGGACTTCGAACTGCTTTTCTCTCGTGCCCTGCCGCCTCCTACAGTTGTACACTCTACGGCCCGTCACGTCCCTCCTGGCATCACGAAGCAATCCTTGGCAAAGTATCACGGCATTGGTTAATGGTAGGGCGAAGGAAGCATCGGCGGGGTGGGGTGGGGGGAGGTAAAAGGAGAAGGGGATGCGCTTATAGTAATGGCTATAAGAGTACCGAAACTTCCCTCGTACTGTTGAAAATTACCCAGAGCACCCACGCACTTTTATACGACCCTGCACTCGGGTACCTAGGGCATCATTAACCGAATACACTGTCTCGGTAGAATACCTAGGTCCATGTCCTGACCCTCGCCGGTCGCCCCATTCCTAACCATTCCAAGTTCAAACTTCCGTCTGACATTTTGCGGCGAGGATTCTTTCGGCTTAACGCGATGCCTTTTAGTACCGATCCCTCTTTTCTATTTCTATCTACGAAGTAGGTAGAGGTATTCACGAGCCAGGGGCAAAAGGGTCTCTGGGTGGAGACGAGACAAGCAGGCGAAAGAAAAACAATGGTAGTTTGCGCGTAAAAGAAAGAGACGGCAGTAGCGAGGAATTACAAATGATACCCTTTGACTTTGTTATACGCTGCATGGAAATAAACGACGAGAGAAAGAGGAGGGAGGGTCTTCTTTTTGAGGGCCACAGATTTTCGTATTTCCTATATTAGCTGTGAGTGCGAGAGAGACGCGCTTATGCCCGTTCGCACGTGTAAGAGAGAGACAGGGCGAGAGGCACCCCTGAACCGCATACCCCCAAATCGGCGAGTGATATTACACGCCAAATCAAGTACCGTCCAAAGTATAATGACGGCATCGGTACCGGATTAGTATCAACTGACAAGACCTAAATTAAAATTGCTGCTTTGAATCGGTCTTTCCTTCTTTTTTTTTTTTTCTTTTTTTTAACAGAACGTCCATTTACAGCTTAAGTTCAAGACTTTTTTGATTTGACAGGTCTGCATACTCGGATCGACAAACGAGGGAAGTCTCTTCTCGGGGGGATAGGTATTCGTTTGAAAAGCTTTACCGAGGATTACCATCCCGGTGCACTTTCCTACTGCACTCGGCGATGTCGCTCTTGATGTAGTGGTGGAGACTGTGTCGTTAAGTCGCAACTAACGTCCAAGTAATTAATCTAAAATCTCGTTCGCGGCATGTCATCCTAAGATGGTAGAGCCGAGGCTGGCTAAGACGATGGCTTGTCTTTCTTCTGCATATTTCATGTACGGACGAGGCACACGATATTATATATTCTTAATATTAAACAGTATATTATATACAATATTCGCACGGTCAGTGACTGAGAGAGCTGAGATACGGTTGGCAGTGGAAGATTATGAAAAATTTTCAACCGTCACATAAGACATTATGCACAAATGCTCACCGTCGTATGTACCTGTAACGCGCTCTACCTGCGCGGATCCTTCGCAACAGGTACTACGGGGAAATAAAAGGTTCAGTTCAGCCTCATAGATAAATGAGTCCCAATTTCTAAGAGAGTATAAAAATCTATTCTGACACTTGTGACCCGTCCACGTGACCTTCTCTTCCTTATTACTTGTAAATACATTTTTTTAAATATCTTCTCTCTCTCTCTCTCTCTCTCTCTCTCTCTCTCTTTTTCTCGTTCTCGCTCTCTCTCCCTCTTTCATCTAACGCGATATACCTTTATCGTGAATATAAACATCCGCTTACTGCTATACTGGAACACGATTCACGCTCGAGACGATATCTTTTCGAAACTGGAGAGTAGTATAAACGTACTGAGGGATTGTGAGAGGGCGAGAAACTAAAGAGAGAAGGAGACGAAGAAACCGCACAGTGGACATGAGCGACCGAGAAGAGCGAAGAGAGAGAGAGAGAGAGAGAGAGAGGGAGGGAGCATAAGGGTCACGCTGTCTCGGGTTCAGAAAGTTCAACCGGTCCCGGAGTCATATTCGTCTTTCTCGAGTTTCCTGGAAACAAAAAAAAAAAAAGCTTAAGAAAAACATAAATAACGAATTGTACGATTTTTGTTTGTTTATTACGAAAGAGCCGTATACCTCGCGCGAAAGTACATATACGAGGGTATGGTTTTACAAGAAATAAAAGGAAGTGGCAACAATGAAAAATATTGCTGCCAGACTGTACACGCCGATAACTACGAAATATTGTGCAATGATGCGCATAGGACCCATTTCGATACCAGTGGTACCGCGTGGTATGACCGTGACGAATTAGCAAGATTCTCCCTCGTGTCATCCCCTCTTAATTTTTCTTACTTTTCTTTTCTTCATTCTTCTTCGTTACCACGTCCACCCGTCCGTCCATACGTACGTAAGTCCCAAGGAGGTCTTATTCGTTTTACGGTATACCAGCCGCGAAGGTCTCGCGTGTTTTGCTTCTGTTTGGCGTTGCGGCTAATTCTCCTCGTGTAAGCCATCTCACGACTCTCTTCTTGTATCTCTCGTGGTACCTGTACACAAGGCTACTAGCTATACGACTTAACGATACCTACTCCCTATTTACATGAAGCGCGAGTTCGGTCTCTGCCAAAGCAACGCGCCGCAAGACGAAACGGGCTGTGACAAGTATTAGCGAACATATAGCAGCCGGCACAACTTTAGATTAAGGGGGGCAATCAAGCGCTTACGGTATAACGACAAGTAATATGGCTCTTATAGGGGACCACGTGTCTAAGACGCATTACTATTCGTATATCCATACCTTTCTTCTCTACGTCTGACATTCGGTGTCTGTGGTTGTACCGCGTCTCTATTATTCACTGGCTTATGTATAT